TCGAAAAACTTCATTAATAAATTTTTATATGATACTACACATAGTTTTGATTTACATAGTGCATCGACCACCCCAACGTTTCATGTATACTATATGTGCGCATATGTAACCAGAATAGGTTAGTCGTGCAACCAAAATTCTGTTAATCTGTCCGATTCATATTTCAGTCCACACTAGAGCTTACTAATTTTCCACACTTCTGATGTTCTACTAATTATTACATCGGAGTATCTATGTTATTAATCAATTTTATGGAGGAAATAGTAAACCCGTTAAAGACGAGAGTGGATAACCAAATTTTGTGGAAGAGTAATCGATACATACGTTGGTTTAAAACACTAGAATATTTGTCGGAATGAAAATATTACTGTATTACTGTTGCCGATCCATCTTTTACTTATTGGATCTACATTGATTATTAATTAATCAGACCATAACGGTAAATTGTTTATGAAATGAAAGAAAAACAAAACAGCAAAGCAATTGGAATCTAAACTAGACTATTAATCGGTCCGTCCGGTCCGTCTTGGTTCAAAGACTGGCAGTCTTTTATAAAGACTGAAGTCCAGAACTGATTAGGACTGATACAAATTAGATGCAACATAAGTTGCATTACCCGTTATTATTATGCGATATAGAAATGATCTGCGATATTATTCTAAAACCGATTTCTATTTAAAAAAAAGCATTTTTTATTATCTAAAAATAACAATCAGTTTTAAAAAAACTTTCTTGCAAAAGTTATTCTATGAATATGTAGTCTATGATTGGTACCATAGAATTCAAAAAGAATTTTCCAAATTGAAGATCTTTTACCAAAAGAGAAATGATAGAAATGATCTGCGTTACACGAATTTGAAAAATCCCTGACTGTATTATAAACTCCATTCAAATTATTAGTTTACTACTCGTTTTATTACATAAAAGCCACCTTTAAACACATTTAAACCTGTATATAATTAGGACTAGTGATAGCAATGCGCGCGAATTTTGAGAATCATGCACATGATTTTTGTAAGTATATTTTTTTAATGCGGTTAAGCTAGTGTAATACAGGACAATTTATCTCAAACATAAGCATTATTCTGAAAGTTTCCGAATGGAAAGAATTAACGTGAATTACGAACAAGGTTGAGAGAAAAATTGGAACAAAGTTCCTAAATATTCCAAGCGGAGTGTTTTTTATAAACTAGATATAATACTGCACATGCGCATCATGTGCATGAAATTTGAATTTATACTTGTACTTTGCTCTTTTAAAGTAGAAAACGCAAAATGCGATAAATTTAAGGGAATTTACGTATAAGGGCTTGAAAATGAAAGTGATTAGATATAAGGGCCCAAAATGAAAATAATTACGCATAGAGAACTGAAGTTTGAAATATTATAATAAAGGGTCCAAATTTATTGTAAACTAATTAGATTGCCTTAATAATAAAGCAATACTGTGTGTAATAAAAGCAAGTTTTTAACATATAAATGTAATTTACTTTTGAAGCTTAAAGTGTTACTTTTTAATCAATATTGTATTTATTCTCTTAGTGTTTTACATGTAAAGATTATAACTACTTTGCTAATTTCCAAAAGTAATTTAACTTCCTCTATAAATACAAATGAGTTTTTGTAATTCTAAATATCTCCGATTAACGCGTAGTAACCATCAAAAATACGACTCATGCTTCATAATAATTTAGTATAGGATAGGCTCGTTAGTCTAAAGCCGAACGAACATATAAATATCATGCTTAACCAAGTAGAACTATATCTTGTTAAAAGAAAGTTTCTTTAAGCGAAAGGATATAGTATAAATGTATAAAATAGTTACATATATACAATAAAAATTTTGGTTTTTATATGTTATTTGTAGTTATTTTTATTTTTGGGGCTTAAGGCTAACTATATTAAGACTAGAGTTGTTGGTGAAACTAATCTTCAATGGTGCACCGATAGTGAACTAGAGTTATACAGTAGATAAAATTAATCTTTAATGGTGCACCAGTTTGCTGGTAGTTTCACCAACAACTCTAATTAAGACCGACAGTCTTTTTGGTCCGTCCTATAAAAGAGCCGACTGGCCCGGTCCTAAAACGGACCGCAGGACCGGTGGTTTTAGTCGGACCGATTAACAGCCCTAATCTAAACCCATCTTGGAAGAAAAATTTTTACCTCTAACATCTTCAAATTGACATTAACCCTAAATTATATATTCTTCACTTTAGGCACTTTGTAAATAAGACGATTGAAAAGTGGATCGGTAATTATTGTCAATACCGCAAATCGCATATAAAAGACCGGGGTTAATATTGGTGGAGTGTAAGAGGCCCCGGCTCTATTTATTGGTAATTCATATACAGTATAACCTCGATATAACGAACCTCGATATAACAATAACGAAGATTATTTCTAATTTTTGTGTTTAAATTAGCCCTGATATAACGAAATTACTAATAAAGATTTGATATAACGAAGAAAACCTCCAGCTCCAGAGCTTCGTTATATCGAGGTTATACTGTATTATATAGTAACATCATGGCGAATTTATGAAATTAAAGTATTTGGCTAAACTCTAAAGTGCATCACTTACTATTTGTTTTTGATATTCTTATTGTAAAATCATATGGATAACGTCTAACCAATCATTATAACTTGTGCCAACGGGTCATGTAGAAATTCATAAAGTTTTTTTAAAGTTAATTCTTACAGTAAAAGTTGATATAACGACTTATAGGGCATGCCACTTATATATAATACGAAATATAAATATTTCGGACATTTGCTATAGTATATGATAACTGACCAATACAAATTGAGTATATCTATGTTTAATGGCATGCCAAATTTTTTGGACATCCTACATAAAGAGTAGTCTGTACTCCAAATATTTAAACTGGAACTTTTTTGTATTTTGTATTGAAAAAATTTCTCGACTTTGAGTTCGTTTTTTTATGTCGGATTACTGTATTCTACAACTATTATCATAATTCCTGAAACACCTGATAAAAATTAGCCGAATGGTAAATTCGGTTAAGTTTGTTTCGGCATAATAGATTCAATAAGGAGTTCCAGAATTAACGTGCGGGAATCTAATTTTGACAGTAATAGATAGTAATAGATAAGGCCACATCAAGTTAATTTTTCGTTTTACCGACCTAAATTTTTCAAAAACACAATTTTTTTTATAATAAAAATTTATTTTAAAACAAAAATAACGAGATTTATTTTAATCCAAAAAAATTCAATACTTATTAAAGAATTACTCGATTCTAATTCAGAAAAATAGAGTAATATCGGATGGTTATCCACCTCAAATCCGATCTCAATAAATTAAAAGAAAATACTAAGCAATCCCAACATATACCATTGTCTTTAAACGTATTACCAGACTCGAACTTTACATTCATAACTCGAACATAAAATCAACCTTTATTATTAACAAACTAACCACCTTAACCCTTAAAAAAAAAACTTATATTTCTATCGCATTAAAAAAATAAAATGATTTGCCTGAACTCGAAACATGATTGGCCAATACGATAAAAAAAAACTCCCAGCGCATGAGCAGGCGCACAACTTGTTCGAGATAAAGATGCGATCTACAATTTACAGTAAATATAAATATCTGTACGTATTACATGAACACACAACATGACAAATTTATTTCACAACTTAATATAAAAGGATCGGATAGGATTGAATTTTTAAAAATGGCGGATCAAAGACCCATTTTTCTTTGGTCCCATCCGAGATCTCTTTCTACGGTTTTTGAACGACCGTTTCTTCAACGTCCTCAAGAATTCCATGTTATCCATGAACCAATTAATCCAATTAGTCGTGCTTATGTGACCAAAAACTTCGAATTGTTGAATCAAATCCCGTTACCTAAACCTACTGATCCGATCACTTTTGTAAGTCATTTCTCGCCTACTCTTAATGAAATTCTTGCTATAATGATGATAAAACACATACCTTAAGAGTTTTTGCGAAGGATCATGCATCCAATTTTTTAGATGCATTAGAAGGAAATCTAGAAGGAAATCCATTAAGATCCAAGGAAATTCTTTCAAAATTTAAACATACGTTCATAATTAGAAATCCAGAAAAATCCGTAAAGTCTTTTTACAAAGCTGCAAATTCTACATATAAAGCTTGGGATAAAGCCTGCATACCTAATTCTGAAAGATATAACATTTTTTTTCCTGAAAAAGTTTGGCTCAAAGAATCAAGAATTTTTTATGATTTAATTAAGAACATAACTAGAGAGGAGATTGTTTTAGTAGATGCTGATGATTTAGTTCAAGAACCAGTGAAAATTTTGAGAAAATATTGTGAGATGGTCAACGTAGAATTTAAGAAAGAAATGCTTGAATGGAAAGAAGAAAGGTTGAAAATATGGGATTTAAAAGTGTCAGGCCCAGATATTGATTATTTGTG